GAATTATTACAATTAATGGCAAAATGAATGTTTGGAAATGTAAACTGATATTTCCTACTGACACACTACAGCAGAAGATAGAAATAACTGACTTAAAACCATTTTTAGCTGGTGAAAATACTAAAAATACAATAACTTACTATCAATAAGCAAATTAGGAGTTTGAGGCGAAACTAAATATGTTCCCAAATCTAAAGTGTTACTCATTTTTCTCATTGAATAACCAGTTCCTCTGGGAAATACATCATATCATGGAAGCAAAATGGGTTGCAAGTGACATTTCATGTAAACTTAAATTATTCATGAGTATTTAAAGGGCCATTTCACCAAAAAAAAGAAAATTGTCATCGGTTAGTCAACTTCATGTTGTTCCAAACACATATGACTTCGGCTCATCTTCAAAACAAAAAATAATATATTTTTGACGAAACCTGAGAGTTTTCTATCCATTCACCCAAAACTTTGACATTTCAAAAGTTCATTAAGAGCCCCATATAAACATGATAAACATGGATCAGTGCACATACATATAGCAAATAAAAAATGAAGTTCAAACGTAATTGCTTATTTATATAGTTATATTTAAACTTTGTGGCCTATAGCAAATATGTATTTTTATTAGTTTTGTTAATAAATTAAACATTCTAAGTTTAATATAAGTGAGTTTGTCGTACTGTTTTGTTGTCGTCCATTCAATCAATTGGCGCTGAATTGACGCTAATTCGAAAGTGACAGTAAAGTGCGCACAGACATTTACAAGCTATTTAAGGGGCCGTTTACACGACAACGTTTTCAACCAAAAACGGGAAACTTTTTATGCGTTTTGCCTGTCCGTTTACACGACAATGGTACACCTACAGGTACTGTTTACTAACAAGGTGACAGCGCCAACTACTGGCCTGGCATACTTAATACAGCGTTTTTGCGAATATGTCTGAACGCGAATCGTTTTGAAAACGTTATTGTGTATACGTGAAACTTTTTAAAAACGCAAGGGAAAAACTTTTCCATTTTTGACTACACCGTTGTCGTGTAAACGTAGCCTAAAAGTGAAGAAAAGTGAGGAAAAGAGGGAAATCTCTAACGAACTACACCCACGAATGCCACCCCCCACCCCGGTGACACCGGTGTTGTCACACATCGATTAACTGGTGGGAAAATTTCCTCACCGTCACAACCCTAGTGCTCTGTTTGTTTATATGTGAATAAAGTCTAAATAAAATTTCTTATTTATATAAAGTAATTGTGTCTCTTCAGGAGACTTGGATTAAACTGCTCTATTCATATGGATTAATTTTACGATCTCTTAATGAACTTTTTCAGCTGTCAAAATTTTGGTGTAATGAACTGATCTCGCTCCGGTTTCATTAAAAAATCTTCATCTGTATTTTCTAAAATGAAGAGTAGTCTCATGAGTTATACAAGGCATTTTTGGGTGGACTATCCCTTTAAGGCGCTGAGGCTTTCATACTGCACTTCCATTGGTTGATCAGACAGCCCCAGCCCCACCCTTGCTCAAACAAAAAGCACAATGCTATGATAGTGCCACAGTATTTACACTCCTCATGGTTTTTATTATGAGTTTAGCCAGACACTAATGCTTCCATGCAAATGTACAGTTGAAGACTAAATTATTAGCCCCCCTATGAAATTTCAGTTCTTTTTTTAGATATTTCCCAAGTGATGTCTAACAGAGCAAAGGAATTTTAACATAGTATTTCTTATTATATTTTCCATCTGGAGAAAGCCTAATTTTTTTTTTTCAATTTGCCTGGAATAAAATTATTTTAAAAAAAAATAAATTCTAAGGTCAATATTATTAGCCCTCTTAAGAAATGATCTGTTTGATTGGCTACGGAACAAACCACTGTTGTTCAATGACTTGCCTAATGAACCTAATTAGTCCTCTAAGCCTTTTTAACTGTAAGCTGAGGATTAGTCTCTTTCAAAACAACTAGTAAAATAATATGTACTGTCATCATGGCAAAGACAAACAAAATTAGTTTAGACATGAGAAAAAGAATTGTTAACGCTCACAAAGGAGGAGAAACATATACACGTTTATCAAAGCGTTTTCAAGTGTCAAGAACAGCCGTGAGAAGTATTATCAAGAAGTTTGAACAGAGGCAGGAAGAGGAAGATTTCAAAAACTAGAAAACTATAGAGAGAGGTTTCTAAAGACACAAGAACAACTGCCAAGACACTAGTGAATTATTTAGTCAAGTCTGGGACTGATGTCTCAACGAAGACAGACACTAGAGGCCCAGACAGGAATGGACTGTGAGGATGCAGACCAAGAAAAACTCCTCTTCTGAAGAAGAGGCACCTCCAAGCCAGACTGAAGTTTGAAGGACAACCTGGAGAAAAATTATACATACTGGAAACGTGTCCTTTGGTTAGATGAGACAAAAGTAGAGCTCTTTGGCCATAGAGATGTTGCCTATGTTTGGAGAAAGAAGGGACAGGTGCTCAACCCAAAGAACACTGTCTCCAGAGTGAAACATTGCAGTGGGAGTGTAATGCTGTGGGGATGTTTCAGTGCGTTTGGAACTGGAAATCTCGTCAGGGTCAAATGAATCATGAAAACGGAGGACTACGAGAAGATTTTGAAAGACGACCTGCGACAAAAGATGGTTTGGGTCGACGTTTTGTCTTCCAACATGATAGCGACTCAAAGCATACCTCACTTCTGCTGAAGAACTACCTCCAAATGAGCAAAGTGAACGTCCTTGACTGGCCCCCGCACAAAGCTCAGACTTGAATCCAGTAGAAAATCTGTGGGGCACACTGAAGACCAGAGTCCATGCCAGGAGACCAACAAATCTGGAGGAGCTTGAGAGGTTTGCTAAGGAGGACTCCTCAGGAGACATGCCTGAAACTTGTTGAGAACTACAGCAAACGACTAAAGGCTGTTATCAAGCAAAAGGGATACACCATTGACTATTAACATCAGAGGGCTAATCAGTTTGACCTGTAGACTTTTTTTATTCTTGGTTCTAATTTTGTTTCTATTTGTATTCCAAGCCTCCTAAATAAACTATTATGTTTAGAAATGCTGTGTTGAAAAAAATCTTCTCTCTGTTAAACAGCACTTGGGAATTATTAAAAAAAATAACGAAATATTTTAAAGGGGGGGCAAATAATTTTGTCTTCAACTGTACATTTTTTAAAATATATTTTCACAAATCCCAGTTTAATATGCAAGCAGTGAGCCATTCATGTGTTGGTTTCCTCTAAAAGACTAAACACTGTGGCTCAGTGGCTCTTTCCAAACGTCTCTGTGTTTGTGGAAGCAGTCTGACATGTCAACTTCTGGCTCAGTGGCTTGAGTTTTGATACTGTGCTACCTTTTTTGCAAACAAAGGCAGATGGAGAGAGTGTTTGGGAAATCTGCTTTGGAAACTTTGTTTGGAAGAACAAGAAACTGATTTTCTGCTGTCTTGCCTGTCTTTCCTGGAGAGTGTCTCTGCCTATAGGCTACATGTTCTTTGTGCTATATACACATTATATGTTCTCAGTGTCTTTTGCTTTGTTCACAGCTCCTGGAGGGCAGTTTCACATCGCAGGGCAGCCATGAAGTCGATGGTCTTATCTTCCAGCCTATAGGGGTGAGTCTGACACAAACACAAACTGCTAGAGGAGAAATACTCTCTGACACTCTGACTCAAACAAAGAGGGTTTGTTTTAGGTTCTTTCAGGCTTCCTCAGAAGCATTTCAGTTAATGGCAGTAATAATCCACGGTTAATGTGGTATTATACGGTGTGTATGCACACGAATGCTCTCAAGCTGCAAACTAAACTGTTATTGAGTTACTAAACTGCCTACTGGCAGCTCAAATCTAGACAAAATTCTCAGCTAATAACACACTTTTTGTTTTGTATGGTCAACATGAATTATGCACAAATATCGTATACATACATCATGTGTAACTGCTAAGCTTCAAAACGTTTTCACAATTCGTAATAAGGTCTAAAGCAGAAAAAACATTTTAGTTATTATCCCTGTAAAGCCTACTGTATTATATTTGATACACAAATTTCTAAGGTCACTAAATTATCAACATGATCAAAAATGTTGAGTATCAAATATGTTCATCAGGCTTTTGAGGAAGGTTAATTTGTTGATCTCTCAATCATCGTGATGCATTGCATTATATGTTTATATGTTTGCCCCCATAATAAAAACTACGGCTTTGATAATCAAACTAAGCTTTAAAATATCGTCTTACTAAGATATAATATTGGGAGATATAGAGCGAGAATTGATATTTATGTGTTTTATGTAAGTAGTCTGTTACACTATTATAAACATTTTTACATTGCATATTTACATCATAGAAATATCAATAACTGCACCAAATTTCATATTTGTCCCATAAATAAAAATGATGTATGCATGCTAGGTTATTCAGATCTGAATAAGCAGTGATTTGCATTTTCTCTTTTTTTTTTTATAATGAAAAAAAAAATGTATTTCAAACAGTCACTGAATTTTGAGACTGAGACCTTTATTTACAAGAAACATGACCATCAGACAAATGCATATAATGATAAACTAAGACACCTATTGTTCCTCTTTCTATAAACAAGGTTTCTTAGGGTCTCAAAGAGCCTTAATTCAACCTTCTGCAAATTTAGGCCTAAAAATGTGTTAAATCAGAGCAGAAAGTCTTAAATTCATAAAGCCATGACATTAAATGTTGCATGCACTGCAAAAACAAACAAACAAAAAAACCTTCTTTAGTAATTTTGTCTTCTTTTCCAATAAAAATATCTTAAACATTCTTACATCAAGATATAACAAATAATGTGAGTTTATGCTTAAAACATGAGCAGATATCTGCCAATGAGAGATGAAAACTTGTTTACCCTTTGAATTAAGTAGATTTTTCTGAGCCCATCACTCGCTTAACTAAGACCACTTAAGTCTTTAAGCACTTAAGTTGCTTCTCAAGTAGTATCTTGATTTAAGAATCTTCAGACATTTGCACTGGAAAATACAAGACTTACAAAACGTACATTCAGAGACCATATTGATGTCTTGTGTTCCATTCAATTTAATGCCTTTTCTTTACTTGGTCTTAAAAAGGTCTTAAATTTACCTTCATAAAACCTGCAGAACCCCAGATAAAATGGGCTGTGCATCTATTAAAAATTCAATTCACATAGCCAAACCCCCCAACATTTGTTTTCTCTAAAAGCTCAGAATGCACCAGGCATGCGGCTGTAAATATGTGGCATATATGGTCGCAGACAAATTCACAATCCTCTATAGAAGACAAAAGCAGGTCCCAGGAGGATAAACACACAGGTTCTCCGCAGGTGTGCGGGATTGGAAAAACAAGCTGGGATTCAATGTGCCATTGACGGATTAGAAACAAAACTGAAGAGAGAGGCGCTTACAATTGCATCATTAAAGCTGCAGAAATCATAAAAATACCCATCAGGTTACTTGGCAAAAAAAAACACATTTCCATTTTTGTTCAGTCTTTCTGCAAATGCAAGGTAAAGGTCACACACACCACGTTCCTGCATGACAACCGATCAATCACATCAATATGTTTAAAAATGTATTAAAGTAAGTGTCCTCAGAAGCCCTCTATTTAAACAGCATAATGTATTTTCTCTGCTGACATGATGTTTGGGCTTTCTATCAGCGTCTCTCATAGCTGCTCTGGTATTGACTTTTTTTTCACTGTAGTGCAATGAGACATTTTCTGTACAGTGACACAGAACCTCTGAGCTTCGTACATTACACACAGATCTCCAGAATGTTGTGATAATGTAACACTGCTGGTGCATGTTAGCCAGGTGTAGCTAATAATTTCAGTCTTGTGTTCAGTTTGGGCATCTGAGCATCCCTCACATGCTCTTCTCCCCTCATTTCCACATGTCCTTCAGTCTCTCATTTTGAAGGAGGATTTCTGCGACCCTGAAACCAGCGTAATGTACAACAATGAAATCTGCACCGAATCAGTCATTACAGATGACCTTGTTCAGAGAGAATGAATGGAGCAGTTTTGAGAGGAAAATTTGAAGCGTTGTTCTTATACACACTGACGAGTGCTTTGTGGGATATCTTTATTTAATTACTTTAATTATATATATATATATATATATATATATATATATATGTACATTGTCACATATTGTGTGGCAAGTAACAAACACATGGAAGTAATGCTCTTCAAACAACTTGTAATAATAAATTCAGAAACTTAAACCACTTGAGGTACACAGGAGACAAGGAATACATACATCAAAGAACTGAGGCAACTGAGGGCTTATATACAGGGATGATAATCAATGAAACATGGACCAGGTGTGATAATCAGTAGACTAATGAGTAACCAAGGAGACAAACTAGGAAATCAGGAAGGCAGACAGAAACAGAAAACTAAACCAAAGCAGAACAAAACACAATCTACACGTGTGAAGTGGGTCATTAAGAGTATTAGGATCTACAGACACAGCTGTACATAATGTACAGATACAGAGAAAAAAATAACATAAATTACACTACTGTGCAATAGTCTTAGACCACTAGTATTTTCGCTAACAAAAAAGGGTTTTAAGTGATTTCTATCTTTTGCTGTAGTGTGTCATTTTGAGACGTTGCCACAGTTCTTCTGGATTGAGTCTGTCTCAGTTTGTTCTGTTTCTTCATGTCATTCCAGACAGACTGATGATGATCAGATCAGATCTCTGTATGGAGCACTGGCTGCTGTCAGACAAACATCTCACTGGATTATTGCAATTAATGGCAAAAGGAAATGTTTGGAAATGTAAACTGATATTTCCTTCGGACACTACAGTAAAATATAAAATAAATTACTTTTTTTGTTGGTGAAAATTCTAAGACTTTTGCACAGTAGTGTAGATTCCAGGAATGTGAGCAACATTTTTTAAATTTTAAGATGTTAAAATCCACCATCTGTCCATGTGTATTATTAGAAGGTTCATTTTCGGAATAATAATTCGGAGTAACGAAGAATCGTGCAGCTTATTAATCTTGCAGCCTAATGCTTTCCTAAATGTGTCAATACGACTTAGTAAAGCATGATTAAATGTGTCAAGGCAGTTTAGATAGAGTAAGACATCAGTAGCACAAAGGCTATTTTATGCTCTACAAAAGGTTCGGTGACAATTATACAGAGGACAGAGCCCTGCCTCTGGAAATGTTAAACGACTTTGACACCATGTTGTTGATCAGCCCAGCAGCTATATAGGATTTTTATAGAACAAGCCATTCCACCGCATCCAAATCTCTTCAGCATTTCAAAAAGATAGGCCTATTCAACCCTTTCTAAAGCACTTGTGTGCATCCGCTGATAGCAGAGCCGTGTCAGACATCCCTCTTTGATGCTGAACAATATCCAGTCCATCTGGTCTTTCACTGTTAGGTAAAGTATTAGAGCAGCAAGTCTTCCGGCCTGAGTCTGTACACTGTTTTCTCTGTTCTGCAACCTAGAGAGCTTTCTCTTGAGTTTTGGTACTTTGACCACTTTGATGCCTCCTAAGACACCTTTATTTTGCCAAATTATAAGGCAGCACTGTATGTATCCTTCATAGTGAATGCAATCTTAGAATTTGTTGCAGTGATCTCAGTGAACAAAGAAGGACAAAGCAAAATGATGTTAATCTGATTTGAAATCCAGTGAGCTTTTTGCATATGTATAACCACAGAAATCAGTTCATATCTGTTTGCTCACCTATTACAGTGCTGATAGAGCATGGTTCTCCCCAGGGATCACACACATAATGGCAAAATGTGTACTTTAAGTGCAGTGATGCTTTGGACAAATTCATAAAGGTAAATGTCCATTTCCATGCTGCCTATGCTGCAAGAGACAGTAAATGAGTTTCCATCCAAAAAGTTTTGCATAGGCCTTTCTGAAAATTCAAAATACAAAATATCAAGCATTTCCATTTCCTCAAATAGTGGACTGTGGTCTGGATCCATATGCCAGCTTGGTTCCAACCGGGCTGTGAGACATAATGACAATGTTAGTACCATTTTGTCATTTCTACAGAGCTGTACACACCATTTATGGTAATGATCTTTCGGCGCTATATCCACTAATATTTTTATCTAGAGCCAAACTGTCACAAAGCAAGGCCAGACACAACAGGTAACTGCAATGTACCGAGAGCATAGACAACGTGGAAACGACAGGGTCTAGTTGGAGGGTACTCACCGCAGGACGTGGGGGTCTGACGGGGCAGGTCTGAATGTAATGATCCGCCGCCGCGCAGTAAAGGCATAGACCTGCCGTGAGACGGCGAGCACGTTCAGAAGGGGTGAGTCTGGAGGTGTCGACTTGCATCGGCTCTGGTACTGGGGAAACCATGACGGGCGTAACAGGCTGTTGGGCGGCTTCTCTCGATGAACAAGGCCACTTGCAGGAGGAAGCCGCCACACTCAGCTGTATCACCCGCGTAGGAAGCAGGCATGGCCATGGGACTTACAGAGGCAGATTGGGGGGTTGCCGGAGGAAGCAGAGAAGCCCGGAGGGCGTTTACCAGATCGCCAGCTACCAGATCGTAGGGCAGTTTCCAAGGAGTCGTTGGAGGATCGCGGGAGGAACAGCAGGTAATTCGTTCTAGG